TTATTAAAAAGCTATATTAATGCGCTATTTTATTATAAACGTTTAGAAACTGTTTTTTATTTTGCCTACGTTTTATTGTTTCAAAAGAGCGTTAAACTTTATCGTTTGGAGTATTTCGGTTAGCATTTATCGTTTGCGAGCGACTGCTTCTTTATATTTCGTTTCTTACAGCATGCGTGTAACGTTCGTTCGTTTATCGTGCAACATGCGTTCGTGTTTTCGAAAGCGTGCGTTTATGTGTAAACTACAACGTTTACCCTACTGTATAAGCGGCGTAAAATATCAAAGCTTGTATACGCTTTATGTTGAAAATAGGTGTCATATTGCGTTTTATACAATAAAATATTAACACGGAATGTGTATACGTTCATATAAAATGGTGTTTAATTCAAGTCTGATCTCTTTGAAACGTTGTTTCACTGATGATTTGTTTTATATGTTTCGAAATTAGATTAACGGCTGTGTTTGTGTCACTTATCTTAAGATTCAGATCTCTGTTTTTATTATTTCATATCCTCAGAAATAATATTGTTAGGGACAAAATGTTAAACATTATTTTCATCGATGAATGTCCCGTTCTTTTAAACAGAGCATTCAAGACAATTGCACAGACGTTGGAGTTCAGCGCTCAATTAATGTATTTGACAATATCCCACTTTTAACAAGGCATATTGTTATACTTGTATTAAGGGACCAAATGGGAAAGCACTAAACTTTGTCGCTAAAAACAACAAAAAAGTCAACAATAATTTTTTTTTGTTTTGGGATATACTTTTTGTTGTTTTTTCTTACTTCAAATGATATAAGGTATAAGATTGTTGTTTTTTCTTGGCTTGTTACTTTGAATTTGATACACAACCTGGTCATGATAACGAAATTTATTAATTAGCTTTGCTTTTTTACACCAATAAAATACTTAAAATACAAGTTATTTCCCGATAAAATGATATATTTGATTAAAAATTCAAATTAACTGGTATTGTTAAAAAAAATTAAGTACCGATATGTAAGTTAATTTGCTCACTTTAAGCTGTAATATGGAGAACTTTAATTGTTCTAATATCTGACAAAATTATCTACCACGTATATGAAATTAAACGTATATTACGCATTCAAATACAAGAAAGCCTCATGGATGTACGAATAACAGTATCATGTGATAAAACAAAAGACTATCATTAACCATTTAAATGGCGTTAAAATGTGTCTTTAAATCAGATAATTCAAATATTGTTGATAACCCGAATATTTTTAAAACAATGATTTATTTTCCAGATCTATGTGAAAGCAATTACAGGTTAAAGGTAATTTTAACGTTGTCCGGGACACACCCTAAATTTACAAGATGTATCGACAAGAAACTTTGTATGTAGACACATCTTATAAAGTAGAAGAGTATTGTAGTGCATAAGAACCGTAGCTCTGTCCACCTAATTTTGGAGTAATTGTCCTTTGTTCATTTTTACATGTTTAACTATGTCAGGAACTATGTATAACGAAATATCAGGAAGAAACGCTGTAGGTAGTTAGATCCCAATGAGGAAAAATTCATTACAAAAGAAACATTTCTCTGCTTTGCCCTTTTTGAGTTATATCCTTATTTATTTTTTTGTTCACTGTTCAAAAAACAAACACTGGGACTACAAAAATTGATACACAACAATGGTTCTAGAAGTGAAATGTTGGACATAACTTTGCAAATACAAGAGATATCATTTAGAAACTGCTTCTCTATGTCCAAAATCTTCTTCTACTGGCTCTTGTATATATTTATTCTTACCGTCGTTTTGGTATTATTATTTAATCCGGTACTCTTCGGTGACAATCGAGTGACAGAATTATCTGGCAGTGTTTCTTTTAAGATTTATTTTAATTAGTTATTATAGTTTACTCTTATTATTGTAAATACAGACTCTGATGTAGTGCAAAAAAGAACGTGACCCTACCTATCTAATTTTGAGTCATTGCCCTTTGTCCATTTATACATCTAACTCTGTATATATAAGAGATTAAACAATAAACTGTGTTGGTCGAGATATACCATTGGGTTTATATGCATTGCAAAAGAACCGTAACTATGGCTTGCCTAATTTTGGACTTATTGCCCTTTATTCTTTTTCTTTTTTTTGTTCTCTTTGCCTGAAAAATAACTCTGAAAAACTACAAAATGAATGAACAAGACAATTTGTTGTTAGACACATCTCACTCATTTAGTAGAAGCCGGCAAGTAGATTTCTGGGCCGGCAAGTAGATTTCTGGGAACATCTTTCCGAATGAATCTGTTACATTTAACAATGTTCATTTATGACTGGAGTGTTCATTTTGAAGCCTGTTTAATATACTTAATTCATAGAACAAACTTTCCCCATTGCCACAAGTACCACAGGATTAGAATCAATAGCATATCAATAAAGCAACAACTTTTAAAACAAGAACTGTCAGAGGACAGTATTGGCACGACTATTCAAAAAGTTGTCACAAGAGTGTTTTATTGAGTATAATAATGCTTATTACCTATGAATACATAAAATTGACCGAAGAGGTACAAAGGCTTGTTATTAAAATGTTTTATCAAGTAAATCACTGCTTTATATTATTATGAATGCATAAAAATGTCCCAAAAAAAGGCACAAACTCTTTAGTAGTTATGGAGATAACAGCTTACAAGCAAAACTTTACCATGAATTTGTAAGTTGAAAAAGGGGAGAAAAATCAGCCTGCAAGATAGAATTATGGATCTTGGTCAGTGACCTACAATTATGATTCTAAATGCATATGTGAAGTTTTAAATAAATATCTTTAATAGTTATTGAGATATGTAAAACTTGCATGTAAACATTAACCAAGAGACTAAGTAGAAAAGGGGAGATGAATCAGCCTAAATGCGAGTAGAGTTATGGAACTTGGTCAGTGACATACAATTATGACTCTCCAATTATGACCCTAAGTACATGAGTAAAGTTTCAAGTAAATATCTTTGAAGACCTGTAACCTTTAACTAAAATTTCTAAGTTTCAAAGGGGCAAATAATTCTGCAAATATTGCAGTCAGAGTTATGCAATTTTGCAAACTGATGTAAATTGTTACTATAATTGAGATATTTGACTTTACAAAAAAACTTTATCCAAAATTTCTAAAGTATAAAGGGGTATAATTCTGTGAATATTATAGGCAGAGTTATCCAACCTTTCAATCTGATGTACATTGTTACTATAAATAAGTGTTGTAAGTTTCAATTGAATATCCCAAGCAATAATTGATATATTTGACTTTACAAAAAAACTTTAACCAAAATTTCTAAGTTAAAAAGGGGCATAATTCTGTCAATATTGTAGGCAGAATTATCCAACTTGTCAATCTGATGTACATTGTTACTATAAATAAGTATTGTAAGTTTCAATTGAATATCTCAAGCAATAATTAAGATATTTGACTTTACAAAAAACTTTAACCAAAATTTCTAAGTTAAAAAGGGGCATTATTCTGTCAATATTGTAAGCAGAGTTATCCAACTTGTCAATCTGATGTACATTGTTACTATAAATAAATATTGATAGTTTCAATTGAATATCTCAAGCAATAATTGAGATATTTGAATTTACAAAAAAATTTAACCAACGCAGACGCTGACACCGACGCCGACGCCGGGGGACTACAATAGCTCTCATATTCTTCGAATAGTCGAACTAAAAACGCTCAAAAACAAAACAAAACACGTCAACTATATCAATATAATATAGAACTTTTTTTTATTTTTTGTCTTGTTAAAATATTAGAAGTAATTTTCTATTGACACGTCACGATTGCTTTATAATTATGCACAGCAATTACAAAAAAAAACATGAAAGATTCATCAAGAAGTATCTTAACATTAAATAGACTCTGACAATTGTTTGGAAATTGTTTCTGTTTGTTTCCTTTTTATTGCTTTTTATTAAATAGATCCATAACAGCAAACTCATCATATCCTGGCACTTGACGATACATAACATGTACAATACTCGACTTGATATTTCTTATTTTCATCATAATTACTCATAAACGATTGAACACGAAAGTTAATACTTACTATGGTAAAAAGCACAATAGTGTTTACAATAGTGTTTTGTAAATACATTTTGTGTGTTATGTGTTTTAAATAAAGCAATAAAAAACACACAAACTTAAAGTGTTTTTTGTTTTAAATACCACTTTCAACTCACTATAAGGCAAATACAGTAATGATTATGCTTATAGAAAAAAATCCAAATTAACCTGTTATTCCTTTATCTCGAGAAGCGATGAGATTAGTTAACAGTTAGGATAATTTAGAATTTTTTTCAGAAACTTTTAATCATTTACACATAGCTACTATAAAATGACAGCAATGAAATATAATGTATTTACTATATAATATATACTATATAATCTAAGTTTCCAAGATAAAATTGAAATGAACATTCCAAGTTGGAATACAAATACTTGACATTAATGTTATGTTTATCCATTAGAAGTTTGAAATAAAATATTATAATTTTGTAAATATCCTCTTAACACGTAAAAAACTTTACTCATCATATAACTGTCATTTTAAACTATATTTTGGTGTTTTTTTTGTATCAAAAGATAAAAAAAACACTCTCATGTGAATAAGACTTGTATAAAACAATGTCCTGATATAAGATAGCAACTGTTTTGCAATGTAGCCCTCGATATTAATGCATATTCATTTACGCGAGGTAAAAAGTAATATAGGCTACCTGCAGTGATAATAAACATAATTTGAGAAACCTTCATGCTAATAATTGATATTTTTATGATTATATTATGTTGACAAAGAAACATATCTTAAACTTTTTACAGGACATGTAGAATATCATTTCAATGCGATAGAATGATTTTGATTTTTTGCAGATTCTGAAAAAATTCAACAAAACCTAATTACGGGCACAGTAATTACAACTTTTAGGTTTTCCGGTGCTTTGTCAGGCGAAAATCCGTCTTAAACTGAGTATGTTATGTTACGGTGAATACGAACATACTACACTGGTAAGGACTTCACCGTCCTTGTAAGGAAGGCATTTCAACGATCCACATTTAGCTTTTACAAAATAAAACAATACACCATTAAGATTACTGGGGAGTGATTCTGTTGTTGCCTCTGGATCTCCGTCCACACAAACATATTCTGAAGCAGCGACATGCTTAGGATGACCTGACATGAGATAACCATGATATTCCATTTTATAATTTTTCAAGCAAATATTTTTTCCAGGCATCATGATGACATTTGATCTAGGGATTTGACATACTGCACAAGGAGCTTCTTTATCCGTTAGTCCGCTTACAAAGGTATGGGTCTCATATTCGGCACCATAAATCATTGCAAAAGGCGATTTTTGATCGATCTTACTATCAAAATCAGGGTTCTGTGGTAGACAGAGATAATTGGATGCAGTTCCACTTTCAATGTACATTCCTCCAGCTGCAAACCCTTCGTATACTAGAGTGGCTCCAACGGGACACGTTTTACGCCCCTAACGCGTGTAAGAACTAATTCCGTCCAAACTATGATGGACTTGTGGATTCTTTCGGCTGGATTCTCGTAGACCTGCACAAAACATAATTATCAAAATATTCATAACAAATCGTTGAGGAGTAATGAACAAGAGTCATGGTTAATTTCACTTTATAAATAAACATTTACATATTTGTAAATGTATGATGTAAGAGTCATTGTTTCGTACGATCTTGAAGCACATTAACTATATGCAAATTGCATGCTATTCTAATAAGTTCTCTCAAAATAAACAGTTTATAAAACAACATAAGATTATAAAAGTACTTTCTTATTCATCGTTAGGCTTAATGCGATAAAACTGTTTATTCTTTTTATCTAACCTTTGAGTTTCACAAGAAAAAGAACAAGTCCAGCATCCTGAAGATCACATTTTGCGTGGTTTAACAAAGTATTGATGGCTTCGTTCAAAGACAGATTACGGTAATTTGTTTCATTACTAAGCGCATGTTAAGAAAAATCCAAACAATATTCCTATCATTTTATAAAACTTTTTTATTTCGTGGTTACACTATAAACGATTTAAACCTGAATAATGAATGTTTTTTACCCCGCATTTATATAAACTATTGAATAGTACCCGTTCGTGCGTTAGATAGTAGTAAATGCTGGAATAACTCTGCAAAAGCTGTTCAATGTGGAACAATCCATTAAAAAAAACCTCTAATCATAATACAAGAAATATGAAAAGTCTTCAACATTTCTAACAAAATGTGGAATAACTTTTAAATTTAAGATGTGAGTAGCCTAGTATCGCAAAGGGGTACATTTTAAATTATATCATTTTGTTATGATATATGCATTTTCATGACAAGTTGAAAACAGCTGATATTGCATATAATTATATAATTATGCGATAATGATGAAGTTGATGATAACAATAATGATGAAGATATGGGTGATATTAATAATAATTATAGTAGAGTATGAAAGTTATGGAGGTATTTCATGGTTTAAATGAGCATGAAGTGTCTTGTGCAGTAAGTCATGTACCTAAAAGTTATGCTATTATGGTACCTGGAAACATATAATCATACAATAATATTCTATCATTCAATATTCCTTTATTGCACAATCCTATATTTAAGATCTAATTATACAAACTTTACATTTTCAATACGCTTGTATCAAAATAAGATACTTTTTGATTTTTAATTCTAATTTACACAAGTAAGATATAATTATGGAATTGGGTTGTCGCAGTGTAAAAGGCCAAACATGCTATTCAATAATTTGAAGTTCTGTCAATTGTTGTTGATTCATTGACGTTGCGTAATCTAGCTAGATAAACAATTATTTATCCAACAATTTTGCATTTTATACTTCAGTTCTTTTCAGACGATCGACTGTCATTAATTAATTCATTAATTTAAGTTGATAAAAATGAATAAAAACAATAGTTATCAATAGTTTTTTTACTGATCCTGTAATTCATTTCCTTTTTGAGTCAGCCATGATATTTTTGTCCGAGACAAGAGTAACTACATCCTGACCATTTACGTCTCAAGAGCGTATAAATACTAGCACCAAATTAAGTAGTAGAGAAGTGTGCATTTTGTTGATTTAATTCTCGTGTCGCTGTTGAATTATTCAATTTTTTTTATCTGTCAGCTTATTAAGTTGTTCAATTTTAGCATCCTGTAGATCATATTTTGTGTGGTTAAACACATCTTGCAGACAGTTTCGTTCAAAAGTAATTCACTGTTATCGGTTCCAATTTTAAGCAATTCAAAAGTATTTCATAATTATATCAAAATGTAGCAAATGTCATTACAATTTAGAACAGCTTTGACATTTTGGCCACTGTACCTTTAACAAAAGCAAATTGAACATATAAAATTAATATACTAGACGTGATTTTGTCACTATAGACAAAGAAGGGAAAAAAAGGTGTGAAACGGCCAATAAACACTGGTTAGGGGCTACTTGTATATGCGTCCATTATGTTTTCACCCTCGATTATATAGTTTACAACGACTTTTAAAGCAACAATAACAATCATATTAATTTATATTTTCAGTACTTATAATGTTCTATTTTCATACAATACCGAAATATTATCCCACATGCACTAACGCCAAATATTTGATCAATATCAGTTAATAAATAATAAAGCACCAATCCGTACGCAGCGTAATGACGTCATTCTACATAAACAACACATTCATAAACAAGCTGACGTTATTTCATACATACAAAATGATAAATAGGGCACTGATGTTAACACAATACAAAGTAAGTTTTTATTGTTGAAACTTGATAAAATAACGTTTTGTTTTCTTATTATTTCTTTTGTTTGATAATTTCTATATCTTCGCAACAGTAGGGTGCAAAAAGCGAACAGTGTTATACGCAAATCGGCTCCGGAAATTATTTCCGCTTGAAAAAATAACGTTAGTGATCTTCCTTATTTTATCGTGTCAGAACCGAAATAATATCGGTTTTAGCGGTGTTTATTGGCTAGTTTTGTCGCTGTGATGCGAAACAATTAACCTCTCAGGCCTACGGCCTTCCTGGCCAATTCATACGCATCAAATCTCCAAACCGGTGTTTAATATCCGATTAACCCCGCTAAGACCGATAATATATCTTTACTATACGAAATATGATACCTCTTTCCTGCCATTTGTTTTAGCTCACATGACGACAAAGTGGTCAATTTGAGGTTCATTGATGGTCCATCTTCGTGCGTCATGCGTTGTGCGTCGTGCGTTGTCAACATTTGGGCTGTTAACACTCTTGCAGTCACAGTTTGATTGGATCATCATAAAACTTTGTCAGAATGTTTGACTCAATTATATACATGTCAGATTCGAATATTAAAATGCTTGGTCACAGGAGCTAAATATATAAAATGTTGTTAACACTCAAGTGGCTGCAGTTTTGATCCAAATATTCTGGATACTTATGATGAAAGTTGTTTAAATTTGATGATTTCTAGGTCATGTTCGAATTTAAGTCATCTCCGGTCAAAAGCTGGGTCACAATTATAGCAAAAAATGAATACATCTTGTAAACACTCTAGTGGCTGCAGTTTTGATCCAAATATTCTTGAAATTAGTCACGAATATTGTTTGATAATTTCTAGATCAGATTTGAATACCGGGCAAAAACTAGGTCACAGCAGTTTAATAAAGAACAATTTTGTTTACACTCTAGTGGCAACTTTTTTTTATTCAAATGTCCTGGAAATGAGTCTGAAAAAATTGTTTTGATAATTTTAGGTCAAGTTCGAAATGGGTAACCTCGGCTCTTAAACTAGGTCACACCGCCCTAAAACTGAAAAACCTTGTAAACACTCTTATGGTCATATTCGTGACTCAATTTTCATCAAACTTTCTCAGGTAGCTTATTTTATGAAGAACTTCAAACATGGGAAATCTCTGATGAAAAACTAGGTCACAATGGCTAAAAATAGATAAAAAATGTTATTACTCTCTATCGCTACTCTTGTTTTCCAAACATCCCTGGAATGTGTTGGCAAGTTTGTTTTGATAATTTCTAGGTTAAGTTTGAATATCGGTTACGAAGAATATCGTGTTTTTTTACGAAAATGTATGCACTTTATAAAGAGAAAGAACAAAACTCCGGTCAAAAAATAACCATGGCATGCAGAAATCTCCCAGAAAAAGTGTTTGGGTTAGAACTTTGATTTTCAATTTCTGCAAAGAAAACCTTCCACAGATGTAGAAAAACGAATCTGCATCTTAATCAGAAAAATGGTGTCATAATGTGTGGCTTTAGAATATGGTGTTTGTATGCACTTTATAATCAGAAAAAAAAACAACCAAAACGTCGCTCCAAAAATGGCCATGTCACGCGGAAATGTCCTTGAAAGGGGCTTTGGTACTCATACTGAGCAAAGAACACCCTCAAATGTTGTACAAAACGGATATGCAACGGAATCGGACAAATGGTGTCTATATGGCTGTCTGTAGAATATAGTGCTTTTTATACACTTTATTTACAGAAAGAACAAATCGCGGGAGCAAAAATGACCATGCCATGCTGAAATCTCCTGCAAATATTGTTTGGTTGAGGGCTTTGCTACTCATGTTTTGCAAAGAACACCCTCCAATATGGGACAAAAGCGAATTTGTAACGGTATCTTTGCGGTTGGCTCTAGAAGATGGTGTTTTTATACACTTTACATACACAAAGAACAAATCGCCGGACACAAAATGACCATGCCGCGCGGAAATCTCCTGGAAATATTCTTTGTGTTAGTGTTTTGTATTCATTTTCTGCAAAGAACATCCTCTTAAGTTGTGTAAAAACAATTTTGCTACGGAATCGGACAAATGGTATCTTAACAGTCGGCTCTAGATAATTGTGTTTTTATGCACTTTGTATACTGAAAGAACAAATTGCCGGTTCACAAAATTAACATGCCACGCAGAAACCCTTGGACAAATTGTTTTGGTTAGGGCTTAGCTACTCATCTTTTTGCAAAGAACACCTTTCAAAGATGTACAACAACGAATTTGCAACAGAATCTTACAAATGGTGTCTTAACGGTTGGCTCTAGAATATGGTGTTTTTATACACTTTACATACATAAAGAACAAATTGAAGGGCCAAAAATGACCATGACACGGAAATCTCTTGGAAATATTCTTCGGGTTAGGCCTTTTGTATTCATTATGTGCAAAGAAAACCTTCTGAAATTGTACAAAAACGAATTTGCAACGGAATCAGACAAATAATGTCTTTACGGTTGGTTCCAGATAATTGTGTTTTTATGCACTCTATATACAGAAAGAACAAATCGGCGGTCCACAAAATGACTATGCCACGCGGAAATCTCCTGGACAATTTGTTTAGGTTAGGGCTTTGGACTTCATTTACTGCAATGAAGATCCTCTGAAGTTGTACAAAAATGACTTTTAAACAGAATCCAACAAATGGTGTTTTAACGGTGGACGGTAGGATATGGTGTTTTTTAACGATTTATTTTAGATTTTATATACTTACAGAACTCCTCGCCTGTCAAAAAATACCTTCATTTTATGCGGGCCTTTTGCTATCACGAGGTTTATAATACTGTGAAGAATATCTTCTAAACTATCACAATCTCATTATCATTCCACGTTTTACGTACGTAGTGTTTATTTTAAAAAAGGCAGCTGGAAGTGATGTCAATTCTCGAAGGAACGTTCTCCAAACCACGTTCTGTCTAACAACACTATATAACATTTTCATTAAGTTGTGATCGGTCAAAATAATGTAAAATACAATGTCAGGTGGGTTTTGTCTTCGCGATGTGACATTGCAAATCATAAGTTGATCTTCGATTATATCGAAAACAGCAAATTGCCTGTCCAAAAACGACCAAGCCATGTGGGAATCTTCCGGACATTTTGCTTTGGTTAGGGATTTGGTTTTTTATGTTGTGCAAAGAAGACGCTCCATAGTTGTACAAAAGTGAATAAAAACGGAATGAGACAAATGGTGTTTAACGATTGGATCTAGATATGATGTTTTTACGAAATTTTATGCACTTTATATAGAGTAAGACAAAACTCCGGTCCAAAAAATGACCATGCCATGCTGAAATCTCCTGGAAAAAGATTTTTGGTTAGAGCTTTGGTTTTCAATTTGTGCAAAGGAGCCCCTCCAAAGTTGTACAAAAATGCATTTGCATCGGAATCAGACAAAAGGTGTCATAAAGCTTGGCTTTAGAATAAGGTTGTTATATGCACTTATAAACAGAAAACAAAAATTTCGTTCCAAAAATGGCCATGTATGCGGTAATCTCCTGGAAATATTGTTTGCGTTAGGGCTTTGGTACTCATACTGTGCAAAGAACACTCTTTCAAGTTGTACAAAATGATTTTGCAACGGAATCAGACGAATGGTGTCTTAACGGTTGTCTGTAGAAAATAGTGTTTTATGCGCTTTATATACAGAAAGAACAAATCGCGGGAGCAAAGATTGACCATACCACGCGGAAATCTCCTGAAAATATTGTTTGGGTTAGGGCTTTGTTACTCATTTTGTGCAAAGGACACCCTCTGAAGTTGAACAAAAACAATTTTGCTACGGAATTGGACGAATGTTGTCTTAACGGTTGGTTTTGAATATAGTGTTTTTATGCACTTTATAGACAGAAAGAACAATACGCCGGTTTTAAAATAACCATGCCACGCGGAAATCTGGACAAATTGTTTTGGTAAGGGCTTTTGTTTTCATTTTGTGCAAAGAAGACTCTCTGAAGTTGTACAAAAAACGAATTTGCAACGGAATCAGACACATGATGTTTGAACGGCGGACGGAAAAAATTGGTGTTTTTATTTTCTTATCCAACAATATCCTGTGAAAATTATCACAAGTTACGTATAAAAGCGGCAAACGAAAGATGCACCTGCTATATCATTTTATTTTTATTTTGCCAGTAACCATAATAGAAAACCTGACCTTGATACATAATTTTTCAATTCTCTACTATTCTACTTATAGCTTATCTAATGTAACATGTAATGCTATCATTTTGGAGTCTGCTCATTTCAATGTTGAATTAATGTTTTATTAAATGTTTTCAGTTCATTACATAAGCACTAATATTATCATTTTAATAGACACCGGAGGTGTTATCAAAACAGTTTTAAAAGACAAATATTGATTATCTTAATCATAGTATACAGCTAATTGCATACGCCTTCTACCGCCGCATAAACAGTTTCACCATTTAATACTATATATTATTATAATATTTAAACCATACCTAATAAACAAATATATATTATTATTATTATCAAATTATATCTTTGTATAAGATTCTTCAGCTGTATATGTTTGCTTTATTTATGTTTTTTCTTTTTATTTCTTTTTTTTTTTAGGATACGAAAACTACTGATAGTAATTTTACAAATACATGTAAGCATAATGTTTGCGTGATAGAATGTTTGTGAATGAACAATATTTAAAAAAAACTTATAACACCTTCTTGTTTTGTTGATTTAGAATTAAGATACTGATCAGGAAGAGAGAACAAAATGATATTTGAATAGACGTAAAAATCTTTAGAAATGACAAAGCCACATAACATATAATTGTTTGACATCGTAGTTTTTCCTTACTCCATAAAGAAATTTAACAAAGGATAAAACTATTTTAAAGATAAACAAAGTTGCGACAGCAAAAACCTATTTCACTAAAGTAAGTCAACAAATAATGACGTGACATATTATGTTTGTAGAATGCTTAAGAAAACATTGTTGTTTAAATGTCCTCCTCGTTAATATAGAAAATAAAATACTCAATTATTATGTTCACGTATTTGGAGGTTGGTATTGCCGGGTATTTACAGTTAGGAACTAATGCTCTTAAAATCGCACCTGTTAGCTTTAAACTTATGATCGATATGCAAATTTTACAAACGTGAATATTGTTCGTAATCAGATAAAAATGTTCTTTAACAAAATATTTAAGTAGGGATCCGCCATTTAGAAATGATTTTCTACATGTTAAACGTGCATCATTTTCTTTTAAGGCATTAGTCTACCATATTTCTGTCATAAAAACATTTTGGCACGTAATGTTTTACAAGTTCGGGACAATATACAGACATATACTAGTAGCTATATTCACTTTGAAAATAAGACATTCTTAGAGCTTTAGATAAATACAATGGTTATCACAATATTCGACATCCGGTGGTTAGGTTAATATGCCATTTACAACGTTATTGTATGTTATTATTGAAAGTAAGCCAACGATAGGCGACACCATGTCTATAAAATGCAATTTCTAAATTACCTGAAATATCCACACCAGTGACACTCATAGCTTAATAAACCATCACTTATGCTTTATGACACCTTATGAATTTTAGCAGAGGTTTGCAACAAATACATCAACAATGAATATCATAATAAGTAACCTAGGGGCCTTATATTATGAATATTAAGAGAACTCATAATGGAAATGTGTGAGGATATACGAAATATTTCAGAAATAATTGTTATTAACTAAATCTCTTAAAATCCAAGAGTAAATTTATCTGAACTTCTGAGGAGTACAACTTTTATGTTTGAAATACATGTTATCATTCTTTCAAAGACAGTCAATACTTGTATACTATGTTCGTATTTTATATTTACAACGATATGTACAATGCGTTTTATCTGCTTATAGAATACATGATTTAAAAGACTTTTCTCCCAACCTGCAACATAAAGAGCATAGCTTTTTAACATGAACCATCCCTTTTCAAAAGTAGAATAACCAGTTTTGTGTAAATAATGAACATAAGATTGATGTTTGTCTGAGTATTGATGAAGTTAATGGAAAGGGCGGTAATAAAAGAGAAGACAATTCGTGTAATCGTTGCTTTCCGACTTTTAATTAGACTAATATTATGTACTTTTGAATTTCTTGTATATGTTTTCTTTTTTTTCATTTAAAAGTAAACAAAAAATACCCCAAAACCCCCCAAAAAATAGTTGTTCAGTCAGCGAAAGATGTGACTTGCAAAACTGTCACTTAAAGTATTCATGTGAAAAGAGCAAAGCTCATTGTTATGTACCTATAAAACATCTTAATATTGATAATTCAAATAAAACATGTTGCGAATAAATGCTATAAATGGGTATACTCTCTTTTTACAAATTATTTATGAATACTTTAAATTTTGCATAAACGAAACACAGTGAATTCAAATCATCTTAAACAATTACGAAGGAAACATGTTAGCAAAGTTAATAATAAAAACATTATTTAAACATTTGCGACATTGCGTAAGGTTTTTATTTAATTTAACACATTGATGTTATTTAAAAGTAAGTGTTCACTTACATAGACAACCTCTTATAGTGTTGTTACTAAGATATAAGAACATATTATATAAAAGCGTACACGTACATTATACTATAATGTTTCTTTTGATTATGCTTGAAACTGAATTTAAAGAAAGGGTTTATGATAACCTTAAACACATTGAGGTAATATTTCTATTGCAAAATATTAAAGAACCTGTCTTATAATGTATATTATATGACAGAAGTTAACAATACATAAAAATGCATCCATTTACTAATTCCGAGAGCGTGGATTTTATCATGCCCTACCCTTCCTTAATAACAAAGTACTCTCATTGTTTATTATGGTTTGATAATAATAAGAATCCATTAATAATCAAGAATTCATTGTAACTTGAATAAGAATGTCTTCTGCGGGTATCCCTCTTTAGTTTAAAAAAAAATAAAATGTGGTCTACCTTACACTGATTGTTTGAAATATAACAACACAGATATAGATCAGGAAGTCAAATTTAATAATAATGCTTTTATTTCAAAAGAAAATTGTACTGACGTATACAACGAACGAACGAACGAACTGATAAGGGTTAACTAAAACAAGATTTCGATTAGGAAGAACAAAAATCAGGATACATCTCTACTGCGCATTTTATATTAAGCTTACACAAGCTACGAACTGCGTACATTAAAACTGTCAATATTCTAACTACAATGTGTGTTTCAATATATCCCGTCAATTCAACTAAAAAGGGTTAAATTCTTTATATCAGACAATATATTTACGTGTTAAGTCTTTCATTCATATTATTCCGGTTGGTGATTTTATTTAATATGTATCAATTTTCTTATGTCTGTTCGCAATTTAAAGGTTCTTATAGTTGACATGAAGAAAAATGATTGACTTTGAGTTTTCTATATGATAACAGATACATCGGTTTGTTATGTAAAGGTCAGCTTATGCTAAATAAATGTTGTTTTCATTGGCATACATGATTGTTTGATATACAACTTAAGTATTTTCTGCGGTTCTGTATTAAACGTTAAAAGCCAGGTATGGTATTCTTAACCGAATTAGAATTTGACATAACCGAACCATTGGACAATATATGGACTACTATGATAAATATCACATTCTCTTGATTTGCACTCACTTTAATTATATACGTTTAAACATTTTACCAGATATATTGGTGAAAAATTCTTCACGTAAAAGATTGATATATGTTTAACAAACGCATATGCGACATTATATTAGACAATTGCACGTTTTCTCGATCATGCATTTAAATATAGACGCTAATTAAGTACATAAAAATATATACATAAAACATTATAATGGTAATAATATAGTGTAATACATCCGATGATCTACGAAATTCTCCTAATATCTTAAATATCTTTAAATTTCTTTGATATGATGTCTACCAATGTTCATATTACAATATACTATGTATATTTATGATCACCTCATTGTATTTTCCATTGCTATGTCATTATTGTTATATCATATTATATTTAGGGCGGGAGGCCTATGATACAAGAATTAACTTTACTTTACTAACTTACCAATGAACAAAACGATACTTTGGTAAGGACAATTCATGTCCTCGTGGCCGTTTTCCTTAGGTTAGAGATTTGTGCCTCATATTACAATTGTGTACACTTTATATTTCAGGCAGAACAAATCGCAGATCCTAAAATCGACAATGCTAAGCGAGCATCTCAAGGATATTTTCCTTGCGTCAGATCTGTGTGATTGATGTTGCTGTAAAGAAAAACCTCCAAACATTAATACACTTACACACATCCCCCTTCTGGCAACCCCCTGATGTATCTTTTGGTTAGGGGGCCGCGCCGAAAAAGAGGTCACTTTTTTAACAACATTTCTCAAACATAAACAAGTCTTGGGGACCTAAATAAGGCATTTTTTCACCATTTGAGACAACAAAAAGGGGGTGGGTGAAAAAGGCGTTAAAAGGCGTGTATATAACGTAATGGGTTAACAGAAAATGATGAAAATACTTGAAATTACCTTAAATCGCGTTTTTTCATGTTTAAGCATGGCCTGTCATAAAAATTTGAAGAAAAATTGTTGTTTTGTAGATTTTTTGATTGTTTTCATTAACCCATTACTTCATGAGCATTTTGTGAAAAATGGCTGTTTTGATTGAAAAGTCTCCCGTTACAAGTTCAAATTGGTATAATACTATAAAAACTGCTTCAACACTAATCAAACTTGGCACAAATGATGACTGAACCATTGCCCTTGCAACAACATACTCAGGCTTAAATTTTCTGTTACCATGGCAACGACGGGACATCTCAAAATTGCCAAAAAATCACTATTTTGCGTTGATTTTTTCCATCAAAATTGATTTCAAAGTGCTGCAACTTCTCAATGGATTGAGATAGAGTCAAATGTTTTTCAGCGTTGCTTACACGGTACCTTATGATCAATCTGGGGTCATTTATAACCTCTCACAAGTCCAAAATTTTCTTGGCGATGAGGGGGACTCCGCCCCCCTTCAAACCCCCCAAACAGAAAGGGGCACATCTTCCTTCTGGCAACCCCCTGATGTATCTCTTGGTTGGGGGGCCGCACCGAAAAAGAGGTCACTTTTTTAACAACATTTCTCAAACAAAAACAAGTGTTGGGGACCTACATAAGGCATTTTTTTACCATTTGAGACAACAAAAAGGGGGTGGGTGAAAAAGGCGTTAAAAGGCGTGTATATAACGTAATGGGTTAAGGATTAATCATTCCCTAGGTTTGGAGGATTTCCTTTTCTGCAATTAAAGATTTCAGTGTTGCATTGTCGTGTTGTTTGGACATGCGATTTGTTCTTTCTGAAAGAGTATTGAACAAAAAATCGTGTAAAACACAATATACCGAGGCCAACCGTTTAAACGACATGTGTGTAATTCCCTTCCAGATTAAAAATTGCATCAATTTGAAGTTCTTATTTACAGTAATGTAAAACACAAAGCTGTAGACTAAGAAATATGTCCCTGAGATTTCTACGTGGCATTGTCTTTTTCAGGACATTTGCTTCAATAAAAAGACGCATAACCTGTCAAACATAGTTTGACTGCATAAATGAAAATGTGAATACCGCCCTTTTCTATCTATATATATTATAATTTTAAATTTTATTGTTTATTGAACTTGTGATTCAACTTCAAATAAAATCATTACACGTACCCTACTTTCAATTACAGATAAACCCTTAAGTAAAGACACTTATGAAACAAAACATTTACTCAGATAGTTAAACAAAACGATTTAAACAAAGGATACTTGAACCCCAAAATCTGACAATAAACAAAGTGCCACATAAATAGTTTAAACTAAAAGGTTCAATATTTTTAGACTGTCCAAAGATTTTTTATATACCATATTTGCCGTGGTGTCCATTTGGTTATCTTCAAGGTTACCCAAATTACAATTTGACGCTAAAGTAAGAATTTCCTAAAGTATTCATCTTGTGTGGACTCTATCTCTGTCCATGGGCGCATGATAACAAAACTGTGGATCAGAGCCCTTCCGTAGACGATACAATTAATAAGCTATTAGACCATGCTAGTTATGATCTTCAAGATGCCGGAATTGCAATGCTACTGAAAGAACTTAAAGGTAGAGTTTAAATATATTTTAGATAAATGATTATACTCACAAAACGAATTGCTGTAATCTAAATGATATTTTATGTTGCTTTTACTTGAAATGATTAGTAAGTTAAATACTTGTCGACAAAAGCAAAATGATATATGTTACGATGCATCTTATTTCTTTTCATTTGAAAAGGATACACAGGTGATTATTATGTTATGTATAAATGCACACTGATAATCTTTTAATATTGATAAAATTGTAGTATTATATTTTAATCAGCATCCCAATTATTTTTCAATTTTATACAAAAAATATGAAATAAGAAGTAATCACAGCACAGTAAATGTTCAATTGAACGGAATAGAAAAAAAAAAAAAAGAATACTTAAAATATTTCAAAAAAAATTTTTTATATTTAACCCGATGCAAAAGGCCCTTTCCAAAAAAAAGGTTTAACAAAGTGTTTACCCTCAAAGACTTACAAGCCCCAACCCCACGTTTTGGGGAAGTTTGGGGAATTTTCCCGCTGGGGCACCCCTTGTTTAATTTTAAGGGGTTTTACGGGGGGAAGGGGAAAAACAAGTTTAACTGGGGCGCCCGCCAAAATTTTTTAGTCTTTCCAAAAAATCCCCCCGGGGGCTGGGGGGAATTTAAAAACAATAACCCCAAAACAAGGGCCTGGGTATATGGAGCAGAATATGAAAATTTATGCAGGGGTGTTAAAAGGAAAACAGAACAATTTTCCGGTTTTGCCGTTTGTCAAGCAAAAGTAGCAGCGTTGTTGATGGTACCTGGGAAGAATACATGTTTAAAAACTTTCGTTAAAGAATACACCGGGTTATCTTATGGCCGTAATTCTACCCATAAAGCAGGCCTTCCGAATTATGTTTGGTGTTGATGGTTGAAGCTGAAAACCAGCTGCAAATCACTTGTTCAAAATCACAATGGAAAATTGTTTTATTTTGTTCGAGCAAAATGTGGCTCACTCAAATGCCCTCCATATAAAGAAGGTGACGACCTCACATGTGTCGTGTGTTCTTATTCTCCTTGACGTACATGTAATAATGTAATATGTTCTTCATATATTTATTTGCAAGGTCATTAAAAATATTGATTTGTCAAAGAAAATATAACTTATTTTAACCGAAAAAAACTGTGTGTAATCTGTATATTGTTCGGAAGTGGAGACAGCAAAGTTATAATGATTTTTTCTAAGTCTAATGGGATGTGTACTTCTGCATATTGTTGCAAGGACATTTATGTCTGATATCAGAAATTTAAACATGTTCTCGCTCTTAATATGTGAAATTTCTTTTTTAGTTTTATATAAAAAACGGAAAATGACGATTTATTAAAAACATGTTAATATAAGTTGTGTTCTAACCTAAGACTTGCAAGGTAACGTTACTAAGCTGATTTCGAAATAGATCGCGGAAATGTATGCTATTTAAAATACCAGAATTTTCTATTTTAACAATTGATGTTGTTATTTTATCATTAAAATTTTAACAGCGTGTCAAACATGTCTTGTTATTTTTATCTCTTTTATTACCAGTTACATAATTTGGCTGCGAAACAGTCGATTTTTTTAGCATTTGAATGAGGCATGATTTATTGCGGAATGACACGATCATTTTTGCGAGTAGTCAATGAAAACAAAAGTATATAAAACACTCATATTCACCAATTTTACACTTCAGAACCAATTTAAAACTTATTGCTGTGTTGAAATTATTTGTTTACACTTTCCTCAAATGGAAAGACAATGTTTTCACATCTCTTTATACAAATAATCGACTGTGCAACTGTCTCTGGTTTACATCATATGTCATATATTGCGGAGCAAGGCCAAAATTAAATCATGCATAAACACGTTTTAGCTATAAATAAAGTTAAAATTTTTACTTTATAAACTAGGAAACAAATTTGTTTTGAAGAAGTTAAATATTTTTCTATTTTTCTTTCTTTTGAGATGATTTGTGTAGTTCTGTGCGGCTTCCATCATTTTAGTTGCCGCCTTTTATATCATATCGTAAAACAATGTAATACGTGTTTATTTTGATAAGATTTGGTAACGGGTTTGACGCCTTCAATGACTTATACATGTACTCATGTACTTTGTTCTCAAATTCTATTTCATTCTTTCTTTAATTGTTGGTAATTTGCTTATAAATATATAAATTTGAGATATCGTTTGAACACCATTTTTAAACAAAAATGTTATCAACTGTGCGTATGAAGTGACGATATCTATTTTAACTAATACTGAAGGAACATGAAAACATTCAATAATATACAATTATGGACTACTATCGCCTCGGTCAATATGTCATCTGCCGGTGAATATTACATCATATTCAATGGATCACTAGTAAAAAATTGTTATGTCATATGAATAAGCTAAGAATTTAAAAAAAATTACAAAAATATATTGACTCGTTGAAGCGCGAGATAAAAGACGCCAGGCGTTTCAGCGAATACGCGAACGCTACGCATACAAAAGTAATCAAAGTTTATACTCATCATTGTGTTTAACTTAGAAATAAATAGTAAAATAGTAAGATAGTGATATTTTAATCAAGAAATATATCATTAAGAACAGAAAACTGCAATTATTATTTTGAGAAGCACGCGCAATAAACGGTAATTGAATATGAATCTCGATCTATTTTAGACTGAGAAAATCCAATTCAGCCAGTGAATATGATACTACACCCAGAAAATATGATTTTATAAAAGGTTTAATTGACTACGGTTTGGACTAATGAGATAGCAGCTATATTAAGGTCATATGATAAAAATCATTAATCAATCTTAAGACCAATGTTTGAATAATCTAAGTGAAAATACCAATCAAAATATAAATACAAAATATACCGCTTAAGTCTTAATCTTAAAAGGCAATAAGCTATGTTTTATATAAATATACTCAACTAATGGATATTCGACAAATGTTTGAGCTAATATTAACGACCGCCGCTTTAAGGTATTTAAATTAACAGATAACATATAATAATGTCATTTGCATAGTAATTGATCTTAAAGTTTCCCTAAATCCTTTTTACAATAGCCATACATATATAATGCTAACACATAAATGTTTCGAATACATAACTACGTACAAGATCCGACATCAAAGATTCGCATAGCAAATCAGTTATCTCCAATCATTATTCTGCGTGGTTGTCAATTGTATTGTGTCTCATAATTGATTTTTTTTTTTTTTTTTAATTTCTTTAAAATGATTCTATTTCATGATTCGTATTTATTATATATCAATGTGAATCTAAAATAATGAACATTGTATCTTTAATCTTCTAAATGTATTACTCCCCTTTCTTAATGTTTGCAAATATTCTAAACTTAAACTATTGCATTCATAAAAACTTATTTTGCCAGCTCAATATATTTCGGATTATGATACACTGTATACATAAGTATTAAAAACGCTAGAAACCACCTTATCCAAATGGCCGTATCAAGCCACAATCGGGGAAACGGTAAGTCTTGTTAAAATTGTAAAATGATTTTTTTAAAATGTTTCATTATATTTAGTATATCAATACTTCTTAAGGTTTGCCATGGACTGTTATAATGTAAATGAATCTGTTTGAATTATTCCGTTATTAAGCACCGTCTGAACAACAAGCGAAACATGAACAAATATATCGTTCAGTATAAATTTGAATAGGTATTATTTCTAGGTAAATTATTGTAGGACAAACTACGCTTATCTTTGGATAAATTTCCGGTAAGAAAATATAGCCGTCTGTAATCCATGTGCACTTATATTAATGATGCACCTATTTTTTGAGTTTTGTGATTAGTAATGTCAAAATATTCTTTTTGGAATGAGACCGTAAAAGCTTAGGCCAATGTAGATGGCTCATAAAAAAAGAAATAGGAATCCCTATAGCTTAGGCCAAAACAACAAAATTGAAAATGTTTTTTTAAGGTTTGAAAAGCCATTTGAAACTGTTGTATTATGAACAATCACCTAATTTTCAATGACTTTTAAGGGTTGTCGGAATATTAGCAATTGAAATGTGAATTAACCGAAAGACAATATCTTAACCATTCCCATTTTAACCTTTTGATAAGTCATAACGAGAACGTTTGACCCATTGTATACATTGTATTTCTCTAGTCATACAGTCACAGAGAAATAATAACGAAACAGAAAAGAAAGTTTCCCTTACGGTTTCATGAAAGGTTGACGAGATAAAGAAAATGCAAAATCATGAATTTGGTTACTGAGTTTTCGAAAATAAAATTTTGAATGTACTTTATATGATATGTAAATGCAACATCCGGTAATCTATTAACACATTTTTCATTTGAGAGTGAATACAATAAGTCAGACTACCTCACTATAAAGATCATTTTTGTTAAAACCACAAACGATCTGACTGGCGCTGTTTCCCCTACTTTTCTCGTAGGTGTTGTTATTTTTCTTGTCGGTGGGTATAATGTATTGTTAAAATAAATCGAACTCGCTTAAACCGGTGCCGGGACGTGAGTGATGTTGCATTTTTCAATAACCCCTCACAGAGAGACCAAACCGAGTAAACAATATGCATGTTTTCTTTTTATTCATTACTTTCGAGAGTTTTCTCTTTTCTAGATTGTTTTGCTGTGCTTTTAATTCAAACTTCGATACTTTTATGTACTAACTTTTTGTTCAAAAATGTGTAAAATGTTACGTTAAAATGCGGGTAAAAACTTCATAAAATCATGTTTTATAACCGCGGATAAACGGGTTCAAATATTGTGTTATCAACCCTGGTATAAGTCTGCAAGAATTTCCAAAATACTTTCAATTTGGTTGGAAGTAACAAGAGCTTGTTATCGCAATACATGGTCCACACTGACTGGCATAGGTTTTCAAGATACGTTACAGTGATATCGTCTATACATGTGCACTATGTTCTAGTTATATGTGCCATTCGAGGAAAAATGAAAGTGGACATTTGCGTCTTAGGATAATATAGATATCTCATATCCACTGCAACAGTGTACATAAATACACCAAATTGAGTTATCGAATGGACTCTACAAATTAAGGAATTATATTTCTTACTTATAAGTTCTTTCAGGTAAAATTCATACACCGTCAACAGCGTCTTTTCTTCGGGTTGTCAAACTTAATTAAGTTTTTCAATGAGCGATCTACAATTTACTTGAATTCGGCAATGTAACTCTATCAATTTAAGAAGGTTTACTTTTATTCGAAATTTAAAGAAAGGGTAATATAAATACACTTTTAAGTTTAACTTTAGTTTGGAGTGTAAGTTGAACCGAAAAACGATATAAGGTAAGTCTATTTTTACTATTTATTATAATGTTTCTACAGACTAAGCAAATAAGAAAGGAAAGAAAAGAAAAGTGATAATCGAAGAAGTATACGACATTTAATCATCTTTTATTAACATTATCCAGCATATCTTTGACTCACATATTAGAGCGTGTATAAACTGAGGAAGAAAATTGTTGATGAAGTATATTATGCTTAATCACCAACAAGAGAAATAATACTATGCGGGTTGTGTTTCCATTATTATATGCCTTCCTGTACTATTTACTTTTCATTTATTTACAGCAATTCCAAAATGTTGGTACCGCTACTGAAGTAAACCATGCAAAATAAACTTTTTTCAAAACTCAGATTTATGGATTTTAATGTCATTGATCTTACTTCCAAATGTATGATGCCGAGCAGTTTTTCCTTTTCTTAGCAATATTATATTACATTAAAAAAAAATCTAAGGAGAATATGAACACACAGCACACGTGATCTGTTTCCCCGATTCATAAGGCCGACATTTCAATGCGCCACATGCCGCTTCAACAAAGTAAAACAACGACCCGTCATGACCTGCTGAGCTTGAATATTTGTCAGCATGTGAATTACCGTCAAAGCAGACAAACTCGGTAGCTGCGTCATGTTTATAATGACCAGCCATTAGGTAACCTCCGTACTCTCACTTGAAGTTGTCTGGACAATCATCTCGTCCAGGATGCATGATGATACTTGAACGCCGAACATGACAACCGGCACACGGAATATCATGACTGTGTAAGTTGTTCCAAATACTGTTTAAAGTTTTATATTGCGCTCCATATATTAATGTTGTCCACTTCGGCTTATTCGCATAGTAGTGGTATTTTGGTTTCTTAGTCAGACATATATGATTAGCAGCTGCTCCACTGTGGTATGCATCAGATCCAGCAGTAAATCCATCGTAAATAGTCGTAGCTCCACTTGGTCATGAAGATCTTCCCCATCTTATATACGTGCCCGTTGCTTGCCTCGTGCTCACACGTTCCAACTTTTCTTTTATATCTGAATTTAAGATTTTTATATTAAGCGTGCTAATGTATGTATTTCGATGATTTTATAAAAGAAAACAGTGTCTTATTTAAATTAAAAACTTTACATATTAACTGTTTCTCACTAGTAGAAATAATATGCAACAAAAATATGTTATCAAAATAATGATAATGTTCCGTTAAAACAATTATCTTTTCGAAGGTGGATTTACTGAAGTAGACAAATAGTTATGATCGCTAATGCTTACAGAGCGACCAAAAAGGCATTCTACTAAAATTTTCGTCATTTTACTTACATGTACAATCATGCCATAGGGACGCATATGTTATCCTTCACAGTACTATACAACTAATATACTTGATTATATTGGACTAAGCTTACTTTCTTTAATCAAACATCAATAAATAAACAAACAAACAAAACATGATAAAATATTAAACGAAGACAGAAGAAATTAATGAAAAAAATGCAATAACTAAAAATATGTAAAACCTTTAAGCTCATTTCTTAAAGATGCCACACTTCCTCCACAATCAATCAGCATTTGCAGAACTTTTGTGTCATCATGCATTTTGTCATTTTGAGTGTTGGCTGACATATCGGTCACCGCGGTTATCATTATAAATCCTAACCACAACATTGTAACGAAAACATAAAACGAAGAATACTAAATCTCAGTGGTGCAACTGGTTTATATAGAGAGTGATTATGTTACATATAAATTTTAAGGATTTCGTGTCGGCCAATACATGTTTAGGCAAATTAAATAGCAGAATGAGATAATGATAATATGTTTAAAATTTAAAGACGTTAAGCAAACATGCGAAGAGTATCATCATATGATAGACCATTTCTATAGACAATAACATATTCTTTGTGTAGGATATGTTATATGGCATATCATTCATCATTATGTATTACCGACAATTTTCCTAAATTGCAGATACGCGGTCACATGACAGTCAAATAGAGACTTGCATAGTCATGTAATTAAAGTACTAATTAAATTTAACCATTTATTTTTGAGAAGTCAAGTGCAAATTACTGTTTCATAAGAATGAAAGAAAAGGTGTCTTATGAACTTCTTCACCTTTGCGGATTAGCGTTTGCATCGAATGAAAAAACCCATATATTTTGATCAGTAGAAAAAGTGCAATATAGGGCGCAAAAACGTATTGTTGTTGCAATAAAGTAAAATTGCTTTCATAGATTTTGTTGGTTTTTCGTCGTTTGCAAAAAGTAGGGTATATGGCAACAATTTAAGATTTTCTGATCAAATACTCCTCATTTTATCAATAACTCTACCTACAGGACGTTCTACTGTAGCAAAATGCATAGTTTATTTGTTAGCTTCCATCAATAATTGACTGTCGATTTTGTTAATATTTCAAATTCGAAAAATAATGACTTCTTTTGAGAAGATCCGAAATAGAATTGAAATGAAAAAAGTATGACATAATGGAAATTTTCGCCCTTATAATAGATAAATTAATGTAATAATACTGTATGTTAATTCTAATCCTATATTCTACAAGTACAAATAATGCTGCAATGTAGCAATTGAGAAGCCCAGCACGCAAAAAATGCGCTCATTACAAATACCCTGCCAAATCATTCCCACGCACAGGTCATGTTCTATTCAGATTAAGTACTATTGTACATTATTCCGAATGTTTTGCAAATCATGTTTGCATAATGATACTTATCCTACGCACTGTCCATTAGAGAAGGGCCAGTATGGCAACAGTGCCACTTCTGTAGTCAGTAATAAAAGATGATAAAAAATATCAGAACAGAACATAACAGAACAGAAAATTTTATTCAGTCTTATGCATATACAGCACATCGACATCAACCAATACATAAATACATTAATGACAAAATGTCATAGTTAAACACATATTAAATATATACAAGTTACATAATCTAAGAGAGTGTTTCAAAAGTTTAGATATCACTTTTAACGGAATCGATTAAAAAAATAAAGTGTTACTGATGTTTCCCGAATACTAATAAATGCAATACATATGTAGTTCTTGCTTTATGCGGCATTTTAAAATTCTTGCCGTTTATAAGTTAGTCAAAGTTAACAAAAATCTTGTTCCTTTGGATTGATATTCAAGAATTGAATCAGACTAACTGAAAACAACAAACATATTTAGCGATGTAATAAAACTGAAATTTCTTTGTTAGGAATTAAGGACATTTTCATAGTGTTATTAACACAGTGAGAAACAATTTAGAATTAATGCACCGGTGTTTAATATCCGTTTTGTAAAAACATTGTTGACATTGGGAAATGTGGAAACACAAAAAAACTGTATATCTGTCAAAGACAAAAAACTCAATAATAATTAATAAAACAACAATAAGTAATAGAAAGAGCTATCTGATTTGATCGAAGGGGGCGTAGCCCCCGAGTATAAATCAGATTGCCGGGTGTTTTGGTGTTCTTTCTCTTTTGTTTCATAGTCAAACATAAAAAACACGTTGTTTATAGTAATAATTTATAATCACGACTGCCGAATTATATGATAAATTGGATAGATACGAGAATTCATCATTATTTTCATACACACAAAGCACAAAATGTCACATATGCATTTACGTGTGACCCTCATATGACCAATCTCCAAATACGTGCATGTATTGCGTTGTTTATAAAAGCAGGAATTTAAACAACAATGTTATTTTCAGCATACAATGAACATGATATGTCACGCTATTGTATGGACTTACGTTGGTAACATATAATTTGAATTTTGTAAATTCTTTTCTCTTTTGTTAATTTTTTTTCTTCAAATAGCACGGCAAACACTATGAAGCTTTGTTATTTTCTCTATAAATTTTTACGACTATTCATTACAAATACCATTTTGTTCCCTCTTCCTGATAAGTTTTTTTGTAAATCCTATATCCGGAGAAAAAAGAAGGTATACTATCTTTATATCAAGATTATATACTTTTCAAAGTTTTCATCACGCCCAGGTTATAATTTTATTGGTACATTCACTTCAAGTATTTTTCGTGTTCTCAAACCATAATTAATTAGTACAGTCATACCTGAAAGGATCATACAACTCTTAAGATTATTTGGTAATTGTAAGCAAACTGTATTCAGTCAAACATAATAATCTAATTTTTGATTACATATGGTTGGAATATAGAACAAAAATTAAATAAAAATAATTGATGTGTTTACAATGAAAAAGTCATAAATATATTTCATCTTTCAACATTTTTTATTACATGTTCGATAACTGTTAAAATGATAACTGTATCTTGCATGAACTGAATATAATTCATAATGGTAATAGTTCGGGTATATTGTTTTAAATATTGAAATATGGGCATGATTACAATATTTCTCCATAAAGCACTTAAACATTTTTAAAATCCTCCGTAATTTCATACACTTCAGGTGAGTTATATATCTTGTTCTAGGGTATCTGTTCTTTGTGTCATGTTCCGCAAACTGTTTTACGCATATGCTTTATTTCGTAAAAATGCCAAGGTCAGGTTTCCCATTATGGTTACATGTACATTTAAAAAAGAAAGTAACTGCATTCTGTGTATGTCTTTTTTTTTTAATTGACAATGTGTTAATTTTATTGTGTAATAAGGCCTCACATGTTTTGGCTTTATTTTACTGCTCAGTCTGTTAAAAAAGCATTATGTTGTTCAGCCACATTTTGTTGAACAGTTTATGAAAAATACAAAGGCCAATGCAGATTTTATTGTTTATACATTTTTAAGGACCTTTTTCTTCATTATCATTAAGAAGTTGTACAGAATTTGAACAGATACTTTGCCCCTCTTTAAGTTGTTTACGCTTAATGCTGAAATGTCTGTTGAATAAGAAATATTTTGGTATTGTATTGCACTGTATGTTTTCTATAGATGCAACCGATGCCCTCAGCGTAAATACTCAGAATGCCGGCCTAGTAAATGGTATTTCAAAATTAAAGTTATCTGTTATACATCTTTGAATACTGGATGTACACATAAAAAAGAAAAAAAATATTTGTTTATGTATCATTAAGGAATAAATATGTTTAAATATTATTAATCACATTGCTTTTTCATATTTTATGTCTGGGTGTCATTCTCATTATACATTTTATAAGGTGAAATAATTTGTTTATCCCTGTTGAATATAAGAACATTGTTGACATCTGTTTAGGCGTTGCAAGCAACACAACAATCAAAAGTTGAGTTTAACCATTTTGAATTGAAAACAGTTTGTCAATTTTACCATAACAAGAACCGGTTGAACCGGGTGATGCTCCCCGAGAAGGTTCTGGACACAGGAAAGTATAAAAAAATGAACAAAGGGCAAACACTCCAAAATTACGCAAGGCGGAGTTATGTTTTTTTGCACTGCACTTCTATTCAATGAGATCTTTCTATCTATGAAGTTTTCCTGATGATATCAGAGTTATGTCCCGGGTAAAATTCAAAGTGTAAAATTGAACAAAGGGCAAGAACTCCAAAATTAGACCAGGCTTTGTTTAGGTTCTTTAAGCATTGCAATTCTATCCAATTATATCTAGCTACCTACAAAGTTTCATGTTGATATCTCTAATACTTTTGAAGTTATGTCCCGGACAAAAGTCAAAAAGTAAAAATAAACAAAGGGCAATAACTTCAAAATAAGGCAAGGCAGAGTAATGATTCTCAAGCACTGCACTTCCAACCAATGAGACCTATCTATCTACAAAGTTTCATGTTGATATCTCTTATAATTTTAGAGTAATGTCCTGGACAAAGTTCAAAGTGTAAAAATAAACAAAGGGAATAATTAAAAAAATAGGCAAGACAGAGTTACAGTTCTTGTGCATTGCACACCTACTCAATGAGATCTATCTACCTACAAAGTTTCATGTTGATACCTCTTATACATTTAGAGTTATGTCCCGCACAAAGTTCAAAGTGTAAAAATAAACAAAGGGGGTAATTGAAAAATTAGGCAAGGCAGAGTTACGGTTCTTGTTCACTGCACACCTTCTCAATGAGATCTATCTACCTGCAAAGTTTCATGTTGATACCTCTTATACTTTTAGAGTAATGTCCCGGACAAAGTTCAAAGTGTAAAAATAAACAAAGGGGAATAATTCAAAAATTAGGCAAGGCAGAGTTACGGTTCTTGTGCACTGCACATCTATTCAATGAGATCTATCTACCTACAAAGTTTCATGTTGAAACCTCTTATACTTTTAGAGTAATGTCCCGGACAAAGTTCAAAGTGTAAAAATAAACAAAGGGGAATAATTCAAAAATTAGGCAAGGCAGAGTTACGGTTCTTGTGCACTGCATATTTACTCAATGAGATCTATCTACCTACAAAGTTTCATGTTGATACCTCTTATACTTTTAGAGTTATGTCCCGGACAAAGTTCAAAGTATAAAATAAACACAGGGGTATAATTCAAAAATTAGGCAAGGCAGAGTTACGGTTCTTGTGCACTGCACACGTACTTAATGAGATCTATCTACTTACAAAGTTTCATGATGATACCTCTTATACTTTAAGAGTTATGTCCCGGACAAAGTTCAAAGTGTAAAAATAAACAAAGGGAAATAATTAAAAAATTAGGCAAGGCAAAGTTACGGTTGTTATGCACTGCAAACCTACTCAATGAGATCTATCTACCTA